TTTGTTTTCAGGAAACAGACAATTGCATTGTCATACATGACTTTTAGAACTGCTCACTTAAATGCACATAATTATATTAGATTAAGTTTCTCTTACAAAAACACAACCATGTCATTTAAGGCGAAAAATATCAGCTTCAAGGGAGACAAGTTAATATTTCTATTTCCTCAATCTGATTTAGTGAAATGATCCATTAATTTAGTTGCCCAGGTTTCATCATTCCTTGTAGTTTTGCTTTGCAAATGGGCATGAGAATTGGTCACTTAGTGCCTGATTTCCTCCTCTCTATTAGACTTATTTTTCTTGCAAATTAAGAAGTTTGAGAATCGATAAATCAGTGGGAGGTGAGAAAGGCACCTTAGAACAGATCAGGACTTAAAAACTCAATAAAGCTATTTTAAAGAAAACTTGCAATTTACAAATATTAATTTAGTTGAACAGAATGCAAACGTTTAGATCAGACATAGCAAAATTTTTTTAGTTAACTTCATACAAGGGATATTTGCAATTAAATATTAGCTTGATCAACCCTACATGTTGAAGAGGGCAGACACACTTGTACTGAGAAAGCATATGGCCACTCAGCGCTCAGCTAAATTGTGCTTCAAGACATCATTTAAGATTGACCAAAGGAACTTTGCTTAGTGTAAATGGGAGACCCCTCTCATTTCCATAGAGAGTAACATGACAGACAGAACCTTATAGCTTCCACATAATACAACTATCCTTTAACAACCCCAAATTTTTGTGCTAGAGTAAGATAGACACAAAATGGTCATGGCTTCAATGTATAAAAGCTTTTCACAACACGGTTTATCACGTTTTGCTATGATTAAGACCTCAGTGCTGTGTGTAGGTTTTGTTCTGAATCTTCGGTCTTTAGCAATGCTGGATGAGCTGTACTGTGTTTGAGGCTAACAAGGAGGGGTCCCCAATACATTCAGAATTCCTGCTGCCAGTGGGGTTCGACCCAGGACAGATTATGTCCAAGAATCAGTGCTACCTGAAAGTTGCTGCCTCACTCCTTTTCCTCTGTTAATACTGGGGGAGAGCCTGCCCAGTCATGGCAGGTGTCTGGCTTTAGGTCAGTGGAAATTGTGTGTGTTTGTATGCAGTAGTATTCTTGGGAGGGGGAATTACAACTTCAGTTCAGTGAAGATGAAAACTTGAATTTCATAATTTACTAACATTCTATATTTTTAAAATGAAAACACTTGCTTTAAAGGATTGACAAAGTCTTAACTGGGGTGTAAAATTTAGCCTCTATCTTCTACGTGTCTCCAGCAGCCAAAAAGATTCTAAATGATTCCGACTGTGTTAGAATCCAAGTGGGATGAGAAGATGGAGGTTTAAAAATGTCCATGTTTATCAAAAGGGACAAAGTTCTAAAAGGTTGAGAAGCACATTTTAGGTAAGGCTGAGAACTGGTTTCCTTGGGGTTGGAGGCTGGTTAAGACGTGAAATTCAGAAGGAAAATACTGGCAGGGAATGAATAAGGAGTTAATGAAGAAGAAAAGTAGGGGAGAGTCAGTGATGGAGAAAGCCTGTTGGGGAGGGCTGGGAGGTCTGGTGGAGTTCAGGGCCTCCTCCTTACTTTGAACATCCACTGGATAACCCTGCTCATTCTGCCTGGCTGCTGGAGAAGTATTTCTGGAGCACTATTAATGTCCGCCAAGGGAAAAACTTCCTTTCTTGAGTCCTCCTGTGGCTAGGGTTTAATTGAATTGAAATGCTATCTCGTATGTCCTTTTNTTTTTTTTTTTTTTTTTTTTTGAGGTAGGGCCTGGCTCTGTAGCCCAGGCTGTAGTTCAGTGGCATGATCTCTGCTCACTGCAACCTCCACCTCCTGGGCTCAGGCGATTCTCTTGCCTCAGCTTCCTGAGAAGCTGGGACTATAGGCACCCCTCACCATGTCTGGCTAATTTTTGTATTTTTAGTAGAGACGGGGTTTCACCATGTTGTCCAGGCTGATCTTGAATGCCTGAGCTCAAGGGATCTGCCCACCTCCACCTTTCAAAGTGCTGGGATTACAGGTGTTAGTCACCAAGCCCACGCCAGAATTAAATTTAATTAGAAGACACACAGCTGTGTCCACTACAGAATTGATTGACTAGTTGGTGGTGGTGTTAAAGGAAATTTATAGGAGGCCATTGATTTGGACTGAACTACTACTACCAGGCCCAACAGACCAAACCACAATGTAATCACTTAAACTTGCACATCACCAAGCCAAAACTAAGATGTTTGACCTTTTGAAAAATCAAGAGAGATAGAGACAATAACTAACATAGTGAAACCTCGTCTCTATTAAAAATGCAAAAATTAGCCGAGCGTGGTGGTCCATTCCTGTAATCCCAGCTACTCCGGAAGCTGAGGGAGGAGAATTGCTTGAACCTGAGAGGTGGAGGTTGCAGGGAGACGAGATCTCGCCATGGCACTGCAGCCTGGCTGACAGAGCAAGACTCTGTCTCAAAAAAGAAAAAAAAGCAAGGAGTTCCCATCCTGGAGTGGTGTTTGTCTCCTCTCCCACCAAGCAAGCAGAGGGATTTCTGGTAGGGCTGGGCATTGCTGCATTGCCCAGAAGGCTGAGGAGCGTCCTCAGGTGAGGAGCGTCAGTGCCAGCGATTCTGAAAAGCATCTACGTGTTGGGGGTGTGCATGGCGTGATGTCCTCATGGCTTCTGTGAGGGTGAGTGGCACCCTGAGTTGCAGCAAGGGGAGGGTGTAAGTACCTGGGTACTTGGGGGCACAGGAATTGGGGAGGGATTGGTGAAGTGAGTCACAGCAATGCAGGCAAAGAAACAGAGAAGGAAGAAAAAGCAAGTAATGGAAAGAGATGAGTGTCACCAAAGATTTTTAAAAAAGCAGCTGGGCACGGTGACTCATGCCTGTAATCTTAGCGCTTTGGGAGGCTGAGGCGGGTGGGTCATTTGAGCTCAGGAGTTTGAGAACAGCCTGGGCAACATGTTGAAACCCCGTCTCTACTAAAACACAAAAAATTAGCCAGGCATGATGGTGGACACCTGTAATCCCAGCTACTTAGGCACAGGAATTGCTTAAACCTGGGTGGTGGAGGTTGCAGTGAACTGAGATCACACCACTGCACTCTAGCCTGGGCAACAGAGAGAGACTCTGTCTTCAAAAACAAATGAAACAAATTTAAAAAAAAAAAAAGGAAAAAAGCATACAGACGAAAGTTCTAAAAGTAGGTGCAGGTGTTGTGACAGTGCACAGAAGTCCTGGAACTCCGAAATCTATCCTAGAACATACTGGACTTAAAATAGTTGCCAACATCATGACAAATGAAGTAAATGATGTGACTAGACAATGAGTTATATATCAGTGTACCTTTGACCTTCCTATTTGTTTGAACAGGAAAGCTTTGCCATTCACCAGTTTGTGGTGCTGTGGTTTCCAGGGCAGTGCCTAAATCCATAGTTTGCACATAATGTGTCTGCTACATTTCTGCTTTGAAATGTAAAAACTTCAGTAATTTGGAATTAGGTAGGCTAGAGGGAGAAGTCTTGTCTCAGTTAATGAAAACTTGTTTTATTTTTATTTGTTTTATGTATGTACGCATTTGTTTTTTGAGACGGAGTCTCGCCCTGACGCCCAGGCTTGAGTGCCGTGGTGCAATCTCTTTAATCTTGCCTCACTGCAACCTCTGCCTTCCAGGTTCAAGCAATTCTCCTGTCTCAGCCTCTCGAGCAGCTGGGATTATAGGCATGCACCACCACGCTCGGCTGATTTTTGCATTTTTAGTAGAGACGGGGTTTCAACATATTGGTCAGGCTGGTCTGGAACTCCTGACCTCAGATGATCTACCCCAACCCCTGGCCTCACAAAGTGATGGGATTACAGGTGTGAGCCACCAGGCCCGGCCTAATTTTTGTATTTTTAATAGAGATGATATTTTACCATATTGGTCAGGCTGGTCTCGAACTCCTGACCTCAGGTGATCCACCCACCTTGACCTCCCAAAGTGCTGGGATTACAGGCGTGAGCCACTGTGCCTGGCCTATTTTTATTTTAAAAACATTTTTAGATTTCTATTTTGTTTTCAAATCTCAGAGCTGTCTGAGAAAAATTTTAAGTTTTTTTTTAAAGGAACAATTTTTGTACCAGATTCTCGAAGTAGTTGAATCTAGACTGATAAAAGTTGCCACTTCAAGATCTGGCAGCCCATTTTCATGAATGGTTAGGATAGAAGGACTGTTGTAAGTATATTTTGCTTTAAGTGGTGGGAGTGGGAAGTTCTGCTAAAGTATTTCCAAAAATCTTTGGAAGCGGTTTACATTTTTAAGTTGATCAAGCAAGCATATTCCATACACAATTTTCTTTTCACTCATCTAGAAGTTGATAGAATACGCACATACCTATTTGCTCTCTTTAGGTCCATAGTGGGAAGCCCCTTCCTCCCTCTAGGATAACACTCCCTAATTCTTCCACCTCTGTTGGGGCTTTGTTGCTTTGTATTCCAGAGTTTTAACATTCTGTATCTCCTTGAAAATAATTCCACTTGGATTAACCCTTGGCAGTTAGTGCAAAATTGCTAGTGAAATAGAAAAAAAATGGGATTTTTTTTTTTTTTTAGTGAAGAAGAAAAAAAGGTCCTTTTGGATCAGAAGCTCTTCCCTTGTAAGGCAGAGCTGGGTAGGTGCTTAAAATGGTAGCTCTCACTAGCCAGAGGATGCAGCATTTGGGCGCCCACCTGGTCCTCATTTCTTAATGTTGTTTAGAAAATCCCTTTATTGTTAACACAAAACTCACATGTGTGGTTATCTGAGTTATAATCAATTTCAAATTAATATTTCTCATTAAAACCCCAGGAGTATATGCAAATCTCCCCCCTTCCCAAAATACTAAAGACTTCTTCAGTAACACTGCAAAAACATAATTTTTATATTTCAGTCCAAGATCCGCATACAGTCAGTTTGGTTGACTTGGTCCAGTCAGTTCAGAACCAACTAGTTAGTTCCAGATAAAAATAGTCACACTAGCTGTTTATAGACATCTTTTTAATGTTTACTTTAAAACAAATAATCCCAGTAAAGGAGAGCAAAATAAATTACACTTTAATGGTAGCTTGAAATGGATATGGCGTTCCTGATTTGTTTTCAGGAAACAGACAATTGCATTGTCATACATGACTTTTAGAACTGCTCACTTAAATGCACATAATTATATTAGATTAAGTTTCTCTTACAAAAACACAACCATGTCATTTAAGGCGAAAAATATCAGCTTCAAGGGAGACAAGTTAATATTTCTATTTCCTCAATCTGATTTAGTGAAATGATCCATTAATTTAGTTGCCCAGGTTTCATCATTCCTTGTAGTTTTGCTTTGCAAATGGGCATGAGAATTGGTCACTTAGTGCCTGATTTCCTCCTCTCTATTAGACTTATTTTTCTTGCAAATTAAGAAGTTTGAGAATCGATAAATCAGTGGGAGGTGAGAAAGGCACCTTAGAACAGATCAGGACTTAAAAACTCAATAAAGCTATTTTAAAGAAAACTTGCAATTTACAAATATTAATTTAGTTGAACAGAATGCAAACGTTTAGATCAGACATAGCAAAATTTTTTTAGTTAACTTCATACAAGGGATATTTGCAATTAAATATTAGCTTGATCAACCCTACATGTTGAAGAGGGCAGACACACTTGTACTGAGAAAGCATATGGCCACTCAGCGCTCAGCTAAATTGTGCTTCAAGACATCATTTAAGATTGACCAAAGGAACTTTGCTTAGTGTAAATGGGAGACCCCTCTCATTTCCATAGAGAGTAACATGACAGACAGAACCTTATAGCTTCCACATAATACAACTATCCTTTAACAACCCCAAATTTTTGTGCTAGAGTAAGATAGACACAAAATGGTCATGGCTTCAATGTATAAAAGCTTTTCACAACACGGTTTATCACGTTTTGCTATGATTAAGACCTCAGTGCTGTGTGTAGGTTTTGTTCTGAATCTTCGGTCTTTAGCAATGCTGGATGAGCTGTACTGTGTTTGAGGCTAACAAGGAGGGGTCCCCAATACATTCAGAATTCCTGCTGCCAGTGGGGTTCGACCCAGGACAGATTATGTCCAAGAATCAGTGCTACCTGAAAGTTGCTGCCTCACTCCTTTTCCTCTGTTAATACTGGGGGAGAGCCTGCCCAGTCATGGCAGGTGTCTGGCTTTAGGTCAGTGGAAATTGTGTGTGTTTGTATGCAGTAGTATTCTTGGGAGGGGGAATTACAACTTCAGTTCAGTGAAGATGAAAACTTGAATTTCATAATTTACTAACATTCTATATTTTTAAAATGAAAACACTTGCTTTAAAGGATTGACAAAGTCTTAACTGGGGTGTAAAATTTAGCCTCTATCTTCTACGTGTCTCCAGCAGCCAAAAAGATTCTAAATGATTCCGACTGTGTTAGAATCCAAGTGGGATGAGAAGATGGAGGTTTAAAAATGTCCATGTTTATCAAAAGGGACAAAGTTCTAAAAGGTTGAGAAGCACATTTTAGGTAAGGCTGAGAACTGGTTTCCTTGGGGTTGGAGGCTGGTTAAGACGTGAAATTCAGAAGGAAAATACTGGCAGGGAATGAATAAGGAGTTAATGAAGAAGAAAAGTAGGGGAGAGTCAGTGATGGAGAAAGCCTGTTGGGGAGGGCTGGGAGGTCTGGTGGAGTTCAGGGCCTCCTCCTTACTTTGAACATCCACTGGATAACCCTGCTCATTCTGCCTGGCTGCTGGAGAAGTATTTCTGGAGCACTATTAATGTCCGCCAAGGGAAAAACTTCCTTTCTTGAGTCCTCCTGTGGCTAGGGTTTAATTGAATTGAAATGCTATCTCGTATGTCATTACTTTGGCTGAAGTTCTGACGGCCTGAGATAACTAGATGGGTTTCTAACAAGCAGTCAGTAGCATTGCTTGCTTTCTGATAAATACTTTTGTCATTTTGTTTCCCTTGGTCTTTTTGCTGCCATGATATACTTAAGTGTTCTGATTTGCAGACCCTGCCAGTACTATCTAGCTTGTAATGGTAAATGTTCACATCAGGAAACTGAACCAGTAATTTCATATTTGGGACGACATTCTTGGGAAGAATAGAAAATTTTCACAACAGTAGAAAAAGTAAAGGAAGTTTCGTTTTAGACTTTCATATGCAAAATGTACACATAATAGCAAAAGACATTCAGGGCATATTAAAAAATAAATACCTTGCAAAAGTTCTCTGCTTATATATAAGAATAAGGGAAGATTAGGTAGTTGAATTCCCTAAGAATACTCATTAAAAAAAAAAATCTAGTTCTTCTATTTTGGTTTGTTTCTCTCCTGCTCATTGCCCTTTGAGGGGGATGTCATTTTCTTTTACTTTGCCAACTTCCTGGTGTTGTTTCTGGATTATTTTCAAGCCTTTCCTATCTCAGTCCCACTCAAATGTCCCATCCCCCAGGGTCCTACCTATATGTCAGCAAAATGAGAATAGCTTCTCACACTTGCCCTTTATGTGCAGAGAAACCAGCCCAATCACAATATTTGTTCTACTGATCAGTATTTCATATGCTTGTGTAGAAGTTGACCACTCATAAAGTTGATTCTGCCATCAGGGAATATGTTTTCATAAAGTCAAATATGTCAGATAGTCTATTTGCCCCACTGGCCCTGAATTTCATTATTTGCACATTTTCTAATTGAAGAACATTCTTGTCATAAAGAACAACATGAAAATGATGTGCAAAATTGCTTGCCACAGTGCTAAATCACCAAAAGCACACAAATTGACATCCAAATTACATTAATAATAAAATGACTGAGTAGGAATGAGTTGGCAAATATATCTTGACATAAGCATCCATTTCTATTATTCCCCAATTCTGCTTTAGTTGATACCTTATTAGCAGCGGTTGATAACCATTGTGTTTAAATATACATTATGGCCTAATCTTGAAAATGCAGTTTGTATTTACTCACAAAGCAGAAATGCCTGAAATTTGTAGGTGTTTACTCCCATGATTTCAAAATACAGTGTCAAATCTTCTAAATGGCCTAAACTTGACATATTCATACACCCCATAGCGTTAGCTGTGTTTGGTTTCTCAGGCTTTTTAACTCAAGGTACATCACTAAATGAGTGGGTTAATGTCGATGCACCTTGGAATTTTAGCCATCCCTAAACATGCATTTTCATGCAATTAAAAGATAACGGGCTTATAAACTGCCTTTCATGTTCTTCCTGATTCTTGCAATTTCAACTTTTTAGAAGGGCTTTCGAAATAGTTCATGCAATGATATGTATGGCTAAAGGAACTGCTATGCCTGGAAAGAAAATGAACTTATTTCAGTTTGACATGAGGCAAGCTGAGGGCATCTGTACTTTCTCCTGCCTTACAAATGCTCTGAGATGATCGTGACCTTCCAGTCCTTAGAGAGTCTGATGCAAAGGCAGCTTCCCTGGCAGGCTGCGGTGCGGCATCAAAAGTGTCTGTCTCTGTCTCTTCGGGACCCACCTCTTCATCAGTTATAAACAATTTGGATTCCCTCCATTTGGGGTAAAAATCTTGGCTGCCTCTGGAGCCACTTGACTCGCTCCCTGAAAGTTGTATATTCAGTTCCTCAGTCGACCTGATCAGGTTTTGCACAGACAAAGATTTGCCCAAGTCCTTTGGCACCATAGGGCAGACAGACAACAGAGTTTCTCCTCCCATGTCAAAGCTTTTCCTCATAGAACGGTCCTTGGTCAGATTTGACTGTGCAACCTGAACATTTTCCTTGGAGGCAACAAGGCAGGTGGTGACGTCAGAAATGCTTTCCTGTAAGCCTGCAGGGTTTGGGTGCAGAGTTTCTGGCCTGGGCAGATGCTTGATGGCTGGGAGAGGAGGTGGGATCTGTAAAGTTGTTGGGGCTGCTGGCTTGGGTGCCGTGTTTATTTGGTTTGCAATGGTGTTGGTGGCTGCCACTGCTGAGCCATCACTTTGACTCATTGGCACCTGTGTTGCTTGACTGTGCATAGTAGGGCTAAGCGCGTAGAAAGTCTGGGCACTGAACTCATTTGGCGTCAGAATGAACTGCAGCCCTCTTGAGATGTTGGCACTGGTTGATCTGGATAAGCAGCCACTGTTTTGTCCAGAACCTGACAGATCTTTGCTATCCACGGGGCTTTGATAGTCAGATGTCTGTTCACATTCAAAAGGTGGGATCTGGAATGAAGCCAAAGCGAGGGCTGAGGCAGAGCCTTTCCGAAGGACCTGTTGATAGATGTCTAGTAGGCAGTCCAGCTTGGACTCTATGGACTGTACCTAGAAGTGAGGAAAATGGTTACGTAGGAGTATAATCTGTTATTAAGAATGGACTTCATTTCTTGAATTAACAAATGAAGTCAAGGTGTGCCAACACCTTTAAAGAAATATTGAATATAAAGTGCAATGCAGTCTGGACCCTTAGTGAATGTAGCATTTAGCAGTGATGGGGCCAGAGGAGGGACACTTCGGCTTCTATTTGGTCTTCATTAGCATCTCTCCCTCCCACTTCTTTAAATAGTGCTTCTCGAAAGTCACATAAGCACTATAAAAATGCAACTTTAAGAGTTTCTGGCCGGGCATGATGGCTCACGCCCATAATCCCAGCACTTTGGGAGGCTGAGGCAGGCGGATCACCTGAGGCTGGGAGTTTTGAGAGCAGCCTGACCAACACAGAGATACCCTGTCTCTACTAAAAAATACAAAAAATTAGCCCAGAGTGGTGGCCCATGCCTGTAATCCCAGCTACTTGGGAGGCTGAGGTAGGAGAATTGCTTGAACCTGGGAGGTGGAGATTTTGATGCGCTGAGATAGCACCATTGCACTTCAACCTGGGCAGAAACAGCAAAACTCTGTCTCAAAAAAAACAAAAGACTTTTCATTCCAGGCTAGGCACAGTGGCTCACACCGGTAATCCCAGCACTTTGGGAGACTGAGGCAGGAGAATCACTTGAGCCCAGGAGTTTGAGACCAGCCTGGGCAACATGGTGAGACACAGTGTCTACCAAAAATAATACAAAAGTTAGCTGGCTGTGGTGGTGCGTGCCTGTAGTCCCGGCTCTTAGGAAGGCTGAGTTAGGAGGATTGACTAAACCCAGGAGGTAGAGGCTGCAGTGAGCCATGATTGTGTTGCTGCACTCCAGCCTGGGTGACAGAGAAGTCCCTGTCTGGGGAAAAAAAAAAAAAAAGACTTCCCCTTCTCTTCAGATTCTCTTTCCTAAGTCTCCTCTATAAAGACATTCTGAAACTCTGCAGAAATCTAGTAAGGAACTTACTCTATAATGAAATCAAGACCTTAAGTATCAATATAGGTAATTCTGAATTTAAAAATATAGGTACATTAAAAAAATAATGGTACAAAATGCTCCAGAATTAATATGTGAAGTATTTTTGATTAAATTGGGGGAACGCCGGGCGCGGTGGCTCAAGCCTGTAATCCCAGCACTGTGGGAGGCCGAGGCGGGTAGATCACGAGGTCAAGAGATAGAGACCATCCTGGTCAACATGGTGAAACCCCGTCTCTACTAAAAATACAAAAAATTAGCTGGGCATGGTGGCGTGTGCCTGTAATCCCCGCGACTCAGGAGGCTGGGGCAGGAGAATTGCCTGAACCCAGGAGGCGGAGGTTGCGGTGAGCCGAGATTGCGCCATTGCACTCCAGCCTGGGTAACAAGAGCAAAACTCCGTCTCAAAAAAAAAAAAAAAGAGTAAATTGGGGGAACAATTTGATTTCTGGAAAATTGTCTTTGTATGTGAAGATACAAAAGACTCAAGGTTAACAAACATTCAATGTGTCACCAGAATTATAATACGGTTTTGTTTTATTTTTTAAAAAAGTGGCCTGCCGAGTGCAGTGGCTCACACCTGTAATCTCAGCACTTTGGGAGGCCGAGGTGGGCAGATCACTTGAGGTCAGGAGTTCGAGACCAGCCTGGCCAATGGTGAAACCCGTCTACACTAAAAGCCTGGTGAAACCCATCTATACTAAAAATACAAAAGTTAGCTGGGTGTGGTGGCACATGCCTGTAACCCCAGCTACTGGAGAGGCTGAGGCACAAGAACACTTGAAGTTGGGCGGCGGAGGGTGCAGTGAGCCGGAGCACGTCACTGCACCCCAGCCTAGGGCAACAGAGTGAGACTCTGTCTCAAAAAGAAAAAAACAAAACAAAACAACAACCAAAACACAAATGAGGAATAGCTCTTTGTTATTTTTAAATCATTTTCAACTATTGGAAATCTATAGCTGTTTCCAATTAACTATTAATTGATAAGATAAAATTTTCTATTTCTTATATGGAAAAAAAAGTGTTTCAGAGAATACTGTCTACACACAAAGAAAATTTAATTTCCTTCACTCTTTTCTTGATTTTATTTATTTTAAAATAATCACTGCCATACATCCAATTGCCTATAATGAATTTTGATTTAAAATTTCTGGCTAAAAAGTTACCCAGAGTTGTTGAGTTGTACCTGTTTTTCAACCTTGACCACCCGACCGAGCATACTGAGATCATCTGTGGTCTCATGTTCTGCTGTTATTTTCTCTCGGCTCTTCTTATCTGATGTGATTTGCCCTTTTCCAAGAATTTGATCAACACTGTCAGAGAAAGAGGAGATCTGGTTATGAGGGCTTAGGACAGAATGAAGAGTTTCAGAAAAATATAGTAAATACAGTTATTCAATTTATGTGAGATGAAATAAGAATAAACTTGTTCCAGTTAATATGCTTATTTTGTTAACCTGAGATTACATATGAGATTAATTTTCTCATTATTCTGGTCCCAGATGAAATCACTTATGGGTGGTCTTCTGGAAATAAAACTTTAGTAAACTACAAAGTAATGGTTTCTACCTCTGATCAGGCAGTTCCTAAATTTAACCATTTCAAAATACGACAAAAATCATAACTATAGTTATTTTGCATTAATAGAACAGATTATTCTATGAGCACTTATTGTACATATGTGAAAGATAAGCAGATAGGAAAGCTATGGTCTCTTTCTTTTGAAATTCAAGCTGGAGAAGATACATGAGCTAGAAACTCAAGATTGGTTGTATAAATTCTGTAGCAGTTCAACTTTATAAAACTTGGGAGCCATAGACAGTTTTATTAAAGAACTTAGAAGGTCACGGCCATCTAGGCAGAGATTGTAACATGACCACAATCTCTGGTCATGTTACAGATGTTACATAATGAATTAAAAAAATTTCCAAGAAGACTTGATCAACCTAAATGAGAATCACTTTCTTCTTTTCTTGTATGTGTTTAGAATTGAATTATCAAGAGTCTTGACTCAACTTCCCAGCTTACTTTTTCTGCACAGAAACATAGGCAGTACTCACTTCCCGCCATGGCATCTAATCTACTAAACTGAAAACTCTACCAGGTCTGGCTCATTATTTTATCAATCTTTGGATGTCCACAGGTTCTGGCACACATGATGGGCTCAATAATTATCTGCTGAATGAATTAACAAATTGTTATTTCTATAACGATTAATGAATAGCTATTTTACTAAAGGCCCATCATATGCCTCACACTGGGTTAAGCATGCTGTGGGCATATGAAAAAGGCTCAAGACTCAGTCTTTGCATTTTAGGCACTATACAATCACAAATGCTGGTAATTTGTGCTGACAGTAAAGCAAGAGTCTTAAAAAAACTGAATTGACTAAATATTTTGGCTTTGAGATATCACAGTTAACCACATGTGGTTGGAATTACCACATAGAACTCATTTCTTTGAACCACTCAGTAAGATGCTACTAGAAGGATAGTATACATCTAGAACCGTACAGGACATGAATGAAGGAAAGAGCTCAGTCTTGGTCCAGAGCAAGGTGAACACGATTGCAACTAGGAAACAACACAAGGGCCAGGTCTCAACTTTGGCCCAGCACACGAAGATTCTGAGTGCTCTAGTGCTCTGCAGTAGACTCTACTACTGTATAAAGGTCAGAGAAAGGCCTGTCTTCATGGGCTAGATTATTGGATGAAGCTTAATGAAGGAGAAATATGTTATTTCCAAAGGATGATTAGAATTTAGGTAATAAATGGAATTTAGATAATGTAGCAACAACAGCAGCAGCAGTAATAATTCAAATATTAGCAACAACTATTAATGTTTATTAGACACAGTTCCAGGCCTGTTATATGTTATGATTTACATGCATTAACTTATTCAATCCTCATGACGACCCTATAAGGCAAGAACTTTCTTCCCATTTTTACAGTTGAAGACAATGAAACGGTTGGATGCTTCTTAATGCCTGAGTTATATCTATGTTAAAAGCAAAATAAAATCAATGTTAAAAGGAAATTCTATTTGCCCACTAAAAATGAATTAAAAAGGTGGACTTCAGAGGTTTACTCTACTGAAGAGAAGTTCTTCCTAGTTTCTATGCCCATTCCTTTACAAGGAATGACATTTCCATTGCTTACCGTGTTTGAAGGCTTTTAATTCTACACAACATGTCCAGATGACCAGCAGAATATTGTTCAATGACATCTTTTACATCATATGGACGTAATGTTTCCTTAAACTTCCGTTTTGCAACATGAAATTTCATAATTCTGCATGAAAACATATTACATATTAATCTCTGTAACTCTGTTAATATAAGTTACCAAAATAGTTTACTAGTAAATATAATAAGAAACTCTAGGGGGAAAAGTCATGCACTGAATTATTTTTGGCTTCCTCAGATGTGTAATATAAAAGCCTGAGATTACAGTGGACAATTTAAGAACATCTCATGTGAGACACACCTTAAGAATAGAAAAACACACCAAAAAGAGGCTGAACACCAAGTGCTTTGCCTTTTTAATGTCCATTGAAACCCTGAATGAAAGTTAAAGTCAAAATGCAATTCTAACTTTTCCACGTGATCTCCAGAAGTCTATAACATCTAGTGATAGCAACCCTTAAAAAATATAAAGGCTGTTAAATGGTCTTTTGTGGAACTACATGCATTTTTGACACACAAATGTGTTTGCAAAACACTCTTCTCTCCAGAGAAATGTACACTAATATGGAAGTTTGCATTTTTTTCATAAATTATTCCTGCAAAATAAGGCTGGATTAGCTAGCCAAGTTCTTTTTATTTTAAACATAACACGCTTTTTTTTTGAGATGAGGTCTCTCACTATATTGCCCAGGCTCTAACTCCTGGTCAAGCAATCCTCCTACCTCAGCCTCCCCAAGTGCTGAGACTATAGGCATGAGTCACCAACACATTTCTTAACTAAGCCTTGAGAGCCTGTGCTTTTCAAAACCAGAGACCTCTTATTACAATGCCTCCCACAACATGGACCCCATCTTTTAAAATGATATTTCACCAACAAATTCCATGATGTCATCAATAGCTAATCTGCCTAACATAACCAGTTCCTGCAATAACTTGATGCAATTTCTGATGAAAGCAAAGAAACATAACATTTTAATTAGTTTGTGTAGCCTTATTGCAGGTAAATTTAAACCTGTTGGTGTTTTTCAACTACTAAATTGCCCATAGACTTCCATTATCACATTTGTAGATCCCAGGCTGGGAATCAGTCACTAAGGGCCAAAATTTGTTGTCCCTTGGTGGAAAGTGGGAAGATTAGGAACAAATGTAAAAGAAACCGATGTTTAAAAAGAAAACATCGGTTGCCTATCTTAGGTGACAGCTGATTTCAAGGAATCCAAATCGTTTCATAGATTAAAGAGCCTAAACCCAACCCTGCAGTTGTATTATTAACTTTCAATTAGTTATATCCTAATTATTCCTGAATCACTTTCCTGTAATATTCTTACGCCCTTTCTCTAACTACATATTTTTCAGCAATCTCTTGTTTATTCAGGATAGGTTTTTAATTTTCCCCCTCAAAAGCATTTAAGAAAATTATCCAGTAGAAAGTAAAGAAAATTGGTGTTTTAATTTAATCTCTTAGCATTAAGCTTTGGTTCCAAATTGGTTTATCAGCATTTAGGTTTCATACAGTCTTAGTGTCCTGTATTAAAAAAGTGAGAAAAATAGTGAAATATGTTACATGTGAAATTTCTGGCCCTGAGCGATTATGTATATATCTGTTTCCCTATACCAGACTGTCAATTAGGTAAAGGCAGACATGGATGTCTTTTATTCAACAATCCATGCTTAATAAAAGTTAGCTATTGTTGTTACCACTTCTAATGACTGTTACTATTCTTCCTGAACATTGTGTGCTCAGAGCTCAGCACAGTAGAAACCATTTGTTGAATAAGAGGAGGAAGGAAAGAGAGAGATAAAGAGAAGATCCTCTAATTTGAGTCATATTAAGAATAAAACCAGAAGAGCTCATCTAACAGCCTAGAACCATTTTTTTTTTTCTTTTTCTTTTTTTTTTCTTTTTTTTTTTTTTTTTTTTTTTTTTTTTTGTGTTTTTTTTTTTTTTTTTGTGCTATCTTCAAAGTAGCTAATGATGCCTGGGTAGGCCGGAAAAAGGGAAAATCATCTTTCATACATCCCAAGGTGGTTTTGTGGGTGTTGTGTGGTTGTATTTTCATAACATCTGTCTACCACTTGTTATGTGAAGAGTACTTCACATAAGTATGTCTTCACATAATGTATGTCTTCAATAGCGCTTGACAAGATATTCTTTTCTCCTATTTATATTTTGGGAAACTGAGGTTCAAATAACTTAAGTGACTGGCCCCCCAAAATAAGCAACTGGTATGAGGCAAAACCAGGATCTCACCCAGATCTGTCTGGTTCTCACCCTCACATGGCATCAATTCTGGAGAATTGAGAAGTCTGAGTGGGATCTTTAGCAGTACTTTCTTTCCTATGGTGGTGGAGGAGGGGCAAACTACATTATAAGTCAGTGTGTTCTCACTGGCTGTAGCTCAGACATTTGCGGTTTGGGATGTGTCTGCCCAGATGTGAACCCACATACTTCCAATTACCTTCTGTGCCCTAATGGGGATCTGCCATTGTTTCTTGGTGGGACGTTATATAAGCTCTTTTGGACAATTCATCTAAAGTTGCTTGTTGCTTTTCTCTCTACCTTTCAGAGATGTTTTAACAGAAAGTACATTTTGAAGGCATTTGATAGATAATATTGCACTCTAGCACTCATGCAGTCATAGTTTATGCAGACCTAAAATAATTCCAGTTTTACTTACATAATTTTCTATTTATGAGCTAGCTAGTTAAAATCTGTTTTATAATTTTGATCAATACTAAAAATGAAACTGATTATCTTTTATTTCAATATACTCACATAATGAAAAGTGTGTAAAATATAGATTTTAAAACTCTTACTAGGCTTATTTATTTTTATACATCATACCACTCCTCAAGTAGTATTGCATTTTCTCCAATGCTTTACTTCCAGATTTTCCTACTTTATGTCTGAGAATTAAACAGTGAAGATTGGATTAATAAATATCATTTTAATTATTTAGTAAAGAGGGGTATGTGCAGTAGTGCCTGGAGTAAGCTTGTATTGACTCCCAAGTACTGACTACTTTTAAGAATTTTGGTGGGCCGGGCGCGTTGGCTCACGCCTGTAATCCCAGCACTTTGGGAGGCCGAGGCGGGTGGATCACGAGGTCAAGAGATCGAGACCATCCTGGTCAACATGGTGAAACCCCGTCTCTACTAA